ACTAAGCTAAGCCTGGGTTTTTTGTGTGTGTTCCTAATGAGTATCAGATTAACAGGGCTATGTACAGAGAGCAAAAAAATATATATTTTATAGGAATGCTTCTGTGTGGATTGAACTCTTGCTAGTGGTCTGCGTGTATGCTACAGACCATAGCACACGTGGTATGGGAGTTACCTACCCACGCCTCACATGTGTATGTAGGAACAAGCATTTGGATTGCTAAGGGCTCCCTGCATGACCGCAAGTGTGAAACCTTAATCCCGTTTCTCCCACCTTTCTGAGAAACCTCAACATCCACTTCAAGACAGTCTTTCCCCAGATGAGGATAATACACAGTGCTGAGTGAGCTACAATAGCTTCCATCACCCTCTTCATCTCCAGCCTGCTGGGGGAGGATCCCTTGCACAGAGGACGACCAAGTCCTAATGCTGATGAGGGCATGAGAATGCGGCCCAGAGCAGCCACAGCTGCCCATGGTGGGCAGAAATACGGCTCTGCTGACCCCTGGGACCGCTTAGCTTCTGATCCTGATGTTTGATGAGACATAATTGCTACAGAGTATTTGAATTTACTGATTTGCTTTAATTCCTTTGCAAAAAGCCCTCTGAAATGACCTCTGAAGTTTGCAGACCTGTGAACTGTAAAAACTAAATCCATCAGGCAGTAAAAGAAGTTACAATTCTGACTCCATACTCTGAACATTCACATCTGAGCCCTATACAAAGTTACACAAGCACTTGGGACCAAAAACTTGGATCCAGTACAGATTTATGTCTATCGAGGAACATTATTTCTTGTCCTTGACAGCACTGAGCTTTATACAGTACTCTGCAAATAAATCATAATTGCTGCTTCTGGACCACAGTTGTCAACCCTGGTTGCAGAAATACACAAGACACAAAAGCAGGAATTAAAGCCTCCAGAAGAAAAAAAAAGGGAGGGTGGTGGTGGTATTTGTTAACTGGTTTCCATTGGCTTTAGTATCAGTTGGGAGAGCAATATACTCACATCATGATATAAAAGTGACAATAAATCTCCTCTCCCAGATTACACAGGAATGTTATATATTGCTTCCATATGATCAATAATTTTAATTCCTGTTTTCAGTCTGGAAATATGTTCCGACTATAGCTTTTTCAACCTATTCTGTACTCTTTTAAAAAAAAGGGGGATGATAACATTTGTGGAACTATTTTAAATTTTTTCTGTCTTTTGAAATTTGTCCTCAGATAGTACACAAGAGATTTCTAGTAACTGGAATGCAGATAGATAATGTGAAAAATGCTATGAAGGGTATTATTTACATTTAACAAAATTGAAATACGTTATTAAAACAGAAATCAGAACATTTTATGAGTTTTGGGTTTTGTTTTGGTTTTATGTGTGTCTTGTTTAAAAATGGTTGTGCTTGGAGGAGCACTGGGTGAGCCTAGAACAACTTCCCAGTGAGTGATCAAAGAGTTTAGCACGAGAATAATGCTTTAGAGACTCAACAGCCCCAGTGGTACACCGCTCAGTAAGACAGAGACAGAACTGCTACCATATCTGCCGTCTTTGGTGCATGGCAGATGGATTGTTTGCACCACTTCCTGCACATTTTTCTGTATTAATTACTTTGTTAAATCAGAAGCATATATGTTGGAACCAATTAGCTTAATTGCATCTTGTCAACAAGCACTGGTTAGCACAAACATCTGTAACATACTGCAGTATTGTCACTTTAAAACATGAGGCACTGGTGTTACATGTCTTAGATAAAATCCTGGCCTGCTGAAGCCAGAGTTGTGCATTTCCTCAGGAACAAGGCTTCACGTACCAAATTCCAAACTTATCAAACACAGAGCCATAAGAGATAAGGAAAAAATAGGGAATCTTGCTGTTATTTTCCAAACATTTAGTGCTTTGCTTTCACAAGATGGGGATGGTACTGTTCATCTAGGGCTGCAAGGGACTAAACACTCCACGTGTTGAACTGCAATAACATTTCTTCCAAAGCGCAGAGCCATACGGACCCTTCGCACAGCAGGACAGAACTAACCCTTTGTATACATCAGATATTTCCAGGCAAAAAGGCTTAAGCCTACTCACCCATACCAATTACTTGATAAGCAGTACAGTTTTCCTCGTTATCGCTACGATCACTCGAGAGTTGGGCAGGGGGACTTTTATATCCTTAACTGCTCATGTTCTTGACTTCAGTCTACATATAACACATTTCATGAAGCGTGAAGCTTCGTCTGTCCCATATGTAATATTTCTGCACTGGAAGGACAGAACCGCAATGCATTTGCAGTATGGATTTTCTCTTGCCACATTTTACCTAATTATACCATAGAAGCAAAAAGATACAAGGATAGGGTCTTTATCTGGAACGAACACAAAATAAACTCCACCAAGTACAATCTAAACACAAAAATCTCTTTTCATGAGCATCAAGAATGCATCTGAAAGAACGTCAAACAGATGCCGCAGGAAAATGACTTCCCCTGCCTCTTTTCTCATCCCAAACCCTTATTATTACTTTTTGATTGATTTTTCTTGGATCTTACATACTCTCATGCTGATCTTCTTAGGTGGGCTCTTTACAACCTTCCCAGCTTGCTTTTATCCCTCTAGTCTTCTTGCCAATAAATTATTCTAGTTTTATGAAAGGTTCCTTTTTTATTTCATAACCATTTTCTCTTAATCCAAAACGAGCTAAAACTCAGTGGTTGGGTGTTTTGTTTTTTAATGCAACATTTGGTCTGCCAAATGCCTTAAAAATGTACTTCGACCTTCTCTGTTTATTTGATAGTCGCTTCTTCCAAGAAGGCTAAGAATAACATGGTTACCATAGTTTCCTTATCCACAACCAATAAAACGCAGTTTGGAATACAATAAAACAATTTGACAAGACTCCTCACAAAATGTGACTAAATGATTGGACAGTGATATCTTCACCCTACATCACTCTTCACACTACTACGGAAAATACTCGAGACCATCAATACCCAGCTTTTGGTCCAGCAGGGAAGATGGAGATAAGCCTGTCCAATTGCCAGCTATTTGAGATATTTCAATTCCAACACGTAAGATGTCTGTTCATGGGAAATCTCCACCTCACAGATTTAGTATTTCACCTCAGAGATTTTGTATTTTACAGCACTCTTTTGTTCCAGGAAGTGACTGTGTAGGAAAGCACTTTGCTAAGGCTCAGTGAAGCTAAGTGATGGATTAATTACCCGTAGGAACCGGTTGACAAAGTAAATAACGTACTGCCTGTTCGTACAGTTTTGTTGGCCCCTGAATAGGCAAGCTTCTAGGGAACAAGCCAAAACCAATCTTTTTTCTTCCAGTCAACTGGCAAACAAAACTCCACATACACTTCAAAGACTGTACAAATTACACCTGCTTTGGACACATCCATATGCTTTCCTGATTAGAAGTTAAACGATGGAACTTTAATAAAACGAACTTTTAAGAAAGAAGAACAATTGTTCTCAATAATAATGAACGATGAAAGAGAAAACCACAACATGCATGAAGAACGTACAGACTCACTGCCAAGTTAATTCTTTTCCTGATTTTATAGTTGTAAAGATTCCCTTTAAAAAACTAAAATATTTTTCCTTTTCCTTTATAAAAGAGAAACAAATATCCAGAGGTGGTTCTGTTTGAAGAGACACATTAAAACGACTTACCAAAGCAAGCACCTGAATGGGAGGGGAAGCAGAATCTTCTTCCCACACTCAGTGCACACTATGGGACTGACTCTTGCAGTGTCTGGGACTCTCTCAAACACACCAGGTAAATGTGGGAGAATGCAACTCAAGATTTTCTGCTGTTCTACTAATGTTTCCTTGCCAGGGACAACAGCCCAAAACAGCTGAGATTAAATCAAAAAGCTCTGGCCATGGTTTGATAACCCCTGGATGTAAGCAACAGGGAAATAAAACACAGCAAATCTCTTCCTTTCCTCAGGCACTCTGGGCTGTAGTCAGGGATTCTGAGCACTAGGAGCAGGAAAACTGCTAGGAGAACATTTGCTGCTGTTGTTTTTGAAGAAAAGCTGTTATCCTCACTGTACAGCTTTCTGAAACTTTTACAGATCCCAGAAGCACCATCACTGTATATATCAAACATACAGGCAGAGAGCCTCAGTCAACATAGTTTCAGTTATAGCTTAGCCACAAGAAAATGTAACACATCTTTTATCCTTGCCTTCTCATCTTGTGAAGGCCATGTAAAGGTAACAGAGTATAGGGAAGAGAGAAAGAAGGTGTAAGAGTGCAAGAGATCACTCACATGGTAAACATGCTCCACTTTTCAATGAAAAAGCATTCTATGTGTAACAGGATGCCACTTCAAATGCACTAGACAAAGCCATTGTATTTTTGCAGGAAAAAAAAAAAACGTTTTCAATCCCATTAATATGTTGCTCATTGCATCAGTTAAACTAATACATTTTTACTTTGCTGATCTCAAGTTAATCAGTGCCACCACTATAAAAGAAAATAACTAAAAACACTGACTAAAAAGACATGTCTTTCACATCCCTAGAGTGAATTTACAGGGGAACAGGAAGAAGCAATGAAGACCAAGCCTAAATTGAACTTTGCACCCTTCTCATCCACCAATGAAGAAGTATGGAGACCGTTTTTTTCCCCAACGTTTCCTTTATGCCTTCAGTATACCACACTTCAAGTCTCACACCAGCCCTGACCAGTCTGCTTGTTAACAGTTTTAAACTTCCTGTCCAAAAACACCTAAGAGGAGAGTCACTTGCTCAGGACGTCTGGCTCTGCATTACCTTACATCGTTGTCCTCTACAGTTAGGGACAGCACCCTGATGGAAGGCCCAGACCCTGGCATTACCCAGTTGTAAGTGGCACCCACAGTAAATGACATTTGAAGCCCCATCCACTTTGCCATTATCGGTTTGGTGGTTAATCTCTTACGGTTCACAACAAGAGCCAGCATCCTTCCCTATCCTGCCTGTCAGAAACCAACCAGCGCAATACCTCATTGATGGCAAGCTGCTCTCCACCTCCCCCAGGGTGGCCGTAGCGGTGGTTGGAGCTCCGGAAGTCCTCATACAGGTCCTCCTCACTTCCCACATCATCTGTTAGAGCTGTTTTATCCAGTGTCCCATCAGCGATCACTGCAACAACAAAAAGAACAAATTGGTATAGACCACAAGATCTTCAGCAGCACTGCACCAATTATATAAGCTTGACTGGAGTGAGGGACACTATAGCACATTATAAAGGAAAAAAAGACAAGGGAACTATACAGGCAATTTCAGGGCACAATTCCAGCCTGGTGCATGCCCATTTTTCAGAGAATTTTTCTCCATTCATATTTTGTTACCATAAATGATTGTGCCTTTTGCTAGACTGGAAAGTATGATTTAAAAAAATTCAACAACTGCTGCATGTTGCCAAGAAAAGATCAAGAAAATGAGCTCTGAAAAAAGGTGCAGGGCAGAGATGATGCAAACATGATTTCATTATGACATTGCCGTGTTGACAGGAAACTTGACTAGGTAACAAGCTCACGTCTGCCGATTCATACCTCGATGATTATGATCTACCAAATCCTATCAGGCCAAGGAAATTTTCAGCCTTTGGGAAAAACATTCACTTTCCTCTTTGTCCACACATTTATTTAATTTGAGAACTCTTTTTGTTGCCTGAAAGGGTGCTTGCTACAGAAGTATCCATTACTACTACAGGAGGGCCATTCTGCTCAGCACAGCCAATAGTAAGCTACAGGTAATGGAGGGTTAGCAGTCTGTAGCTAAAACAAGCGTTAAAGTCTCAAGGTGTAAGCATAAGCCTGAGAGAAATAAAAATATGGCATTTATACTCCTTGCACAGAAGAAAATGCCACTTCATCTGTTTCATAGGCAGGAACCTTTTCCTAAATTCTCCTCAAGGTATTAGCAAATATCCTTCAGTGGCATATTGACCAATCATTCATTCATTCATCCCACACCTGCATAGGCTACTGAGCATAAACTTTCTGTTCTCAAAATCTGTGAAAAATGTCAATGATTAAAGAAAACATTTGCTGGCATATTCATCTGGATTAGCAACTGCTAGGGCAACAGTTCCCATGGGAAGGAAGTGGGCTTCACAAAGATTTCTGTGCATGAAGTAGCAAGCTAATACAAACACGATGCAGAGAACAGCTGAAATAACCAGTAATTTTAGTATAATAGACTTGACACAACTACAGCAGTAGAACTGAATGAAGTGGAAACACAGATATTGCTATCAGCACTCCTGGGTGACAGTCTTGGCTGTCCCAGTTGCTCATGACGTCAAACTCAAAATTTTTGCAGAACTGGTGAAAAAAAAAAAAAAGCACAACCAAAACTTTGAGCTTGATCTTGCACAGCTTGGATAGGAAAAGCGCAAGTCAGAGTCTGGGGACGCGTAAGCCTGTTCTTGAGCCCTCGTTTCACTCCATAATGCAAGTGCGTCTTAAGAACCTAGTTGTGTCAATGGGCCAAGAAAAAGGGCCTGAGGGTTCATTAGCTTATTACTGCTGGAAAGCAAAGCTTCCCAGTAATACAAAATAAACTGCTGTCGGAGGTTACTGCAAAACCTACAAAGACAGTCCTCATCAATGCTTTCATTATGTGTGATGTTTTGTTAAGGCCACATCACTTGATTACTTCTAATAATACAGTGAGGTGTAAATTCAGTGTAGCAGGTATCGGTTCAGTGCAGTAACTTGACATCAAAACGATTGGAGTATGAGCTATTTTTTAACTAAATACTTGATTGTTTATGCTTTGAATTCAATAAATAGGCATGACATAGCAAAGAGATATTCATCAACTAAACCTGGAACTCCATTCAATACTGATGGCAGTTCAGGACATGAAGGTGTGTTTGAGCTTATGATTAAAGCAGAGTTTTCTGTGGAAGCGTGTAACTACCCAACCATTCAACTTCAAGTGACATTTCAGAAAAAATCAAGTGTTCTTATAGCTTTGCTCTGACACATCATATTAATATACAGAAGTTCTCTACCAAATACACGCCTTTAGCATAGGTTGCATATAAAGTAGTTCTGGGGCTAACACCTAGCCCATTAATATAAAACTCAAAACCAGTTGCAATGCCACTGATATTATCATTTTATGCAGAATTACCATGGTTTGCACTTAAATTTATTTTTTTTAAAGAGCGTTAAAGTATTAATTTTTGCTTATACACTGAAAAACATTTGTTTGATAGTAATGAACAACTTTTAGTGTACTAGCACAGCAACAAAAACAAATTAGAAATGTTTTTCAAGAACAAATAAAAATAAATATTTTATAAGAAGGGAGTTAGCAGTCACTTAATTCAAAACTTCCTTTGCATCCCCCGATCTCATTCTTTTCCTTTATTTTACGCATGGCTTCGTTGCTTTTGCCTTATGCATCTTCTGCTATTTTCACTACTAAAAGTAATTTTCAGCTTGAAAAACATTAATTGACATCTTTAAAGCTTTTGTTTTTTCCCCTCACATTTTCCTGTTTGTTCTCTGATCTGTGCTTAGATGAAAAAGCAAAAGCTCCAGGGAGATATTTATCTGTATTACTTAAAATGCTCTATACCTCTGCTAAGTGCCTTGAAAGCTATGCTTGCTTTTACTAGAGATCTGTTTTTCTTCTCTGATCTTACCAAGCTCATCAATTTTCTGCAGTCTCAAACCTGCTACTGCATTTCAAATTAGTTTTCCTGGCAGAAAAGTCCTCATGGACATATTTCACAAAAAAACACAGTTCGTACTCATACAAAAGTTCTCAATCCTTGAGGAATAAAGGCCCAAGATAGCCATTATACATTTCCCAAACTAACTAACATTCCAGAGAAGAATAAAACTAATGAAAAATAAGAATTTGCTCTGAAGCAGCTTACATGGGAGATGTGATTACAAATAAATAAATAAAACAGTAGTCGGAATCGGTGACCCAATGCACTAGAAATCCATCAAGGAAGTAGGAGAACGAAGGCTTTTAATATAGGTAGTGACTCAACATGCACAGCATAAACTAGGTCAAGTAGAAAAGAAGCAAGCAGTGTATAAAAATCTTTAAAGACAAGTTAGCAGAGGCTGCTGAAACAGTCCATCAGCTTCCCCAACACCACAGCACTAGTTGCAACTATTAAGCTGCACAGTAGTTGACTTGGATGACTCATTCCCACCCCCCTCCCAAATGCTCATCTCTGTTTAATACTGGCATCCACTGGTACAGTCACAGCTGGCCTCTCCATGTCTCTCTGAAACCACTGATCTGACCTGTCCCTGGCAGTCAGGCAACACCAAAGAACAATGTTCTGTCAAAAAATTATACCTCAAGCAGATTTCTCTATGTTTTATACAGCTGTCCTGACAAATTTCATTAAGTATGGCAACAAATCTCATACATAGGAACACAGGGACGGGTGGTCACCAATATTTAGTACTACAACCTTCTGTGCCAGTATGAAAACTCTGCTTTATACTGTTGTTAGTCCAAGCCCAAGCTCGGGATGCATGTCATTGAAGTACAACAGCAGATGGATAGTTCTAGCAATAGAAGCTCATGAAAGAATGCCGCATAAACCCTTTTTTATGTATCTGAATAGAGAATAACGTGTCAAGAGCCTGACTCCATGAAGAAATATGTTGAGGATATGAAACGGCAAAAGTCATACAAAAAATGGCACTGAAAACAGTGACTGGCACAGGTGGTCTGTGTTCGAGCGCCTGAGCAGACAGCACTGAGACAGGCTACATTCAAAAACAGTCACAAAAACACAAGGGAAGAATTCTATAAAAATCAAATAAAGCTTGATCAAAATGGTCCAGAGGAAGAGGGTATATGGGTTCACCCTTACGCTTTCCCACAGGCTTTGAGATGCAGGCATAAGCAGTCAGCAGTGGGAAGGGTCCTGGCTGGGCTCTGCTTGTGCCCCCACCTTGCTGAAGGGGACCATGTAAAAGGTTGACACCAAGCATCCCTGAGAGGTGCTTTTCCTAAAGAGTTACAGATCTCTCCATTTCATCAGAACGCCATTGGAGCTGCTCTCAGCTCTGTGGTTTCACACAGAAGAGCACTCTGTCTGCAGTGAGAGACCAGCCATGCAACGGCCACAGCGTAAACCACAGCTGTAGAACCCTCAGCCATCCCAGTTAATGGCCTGCCAGCTGTGACCTGCTTATGGGTAAGTTTGGATAATTTAGAATGCACACAGGCAGCTGCCTGTACAGTAGGATGTTCACTATTGGGACTCACAATCAAACCTATCTGACAGTGGAGAACAAAACAGCTGGGCTACACTAGGACAGCCTTGATCTTAATAATCAACAGAAGATGACAGGGAGGGAAAAAATGAGAGAAGCCATGTGTTGTTCATCTAACCAGTGTGAAACCAAAATAAGTTGGGATTAGATGATCTACTGAAGGTCACAGACTGAAAAAGAATATTAACCATAATCTAGAGTTCACCTAAGACTAGTGTCACCTAGTAAAGGTGGCACTTCACCTTGTCTGAGCTCCTCTCCTCTCTCAAAGGATGGACCTGCTTCATACATTCTAAGTGCCAGGAATTAGCAAAAACAAGTTGCTTGTTGGCCAAAAAAACCCTAAAACCAAAACAAAAACCTACCACTACCAAAGGAAAAAAAAAAAAATCCCGACCTCTCACTGGAGAAACACAGAATAAATTTCTAGAACAGTTTCCTCAGAGCAGCTGGGCACTGCAGCCCTAAATCTAGCACAGCTTCTTAACAAAGATCTCTCAAAGTCACACAGGTTTATGTCTCAGCTGGAATACACCCCAGTAGCTCCCTGTTGGCAAGAGGTTCCACTCGTGTGCCTGGGTCAGAAGCCTGAACAATGACCCAGGACTCAACGAAAATGAGCTAGAGGCGTTTTCCCCAAAATCTTGGTTATGTATTTTCACTTGACTTCCAGCCTACAGCTTTTAGGGGCAAGGCTGGGACAGGAATCCATGATGATTACAGGCAGCTTTGAAAGCCAAGAGCACCCACAGTTTATTAAAAGCACATTATATTAATGACAAAGGGAACAACTTTTGTGTGTTTGAAGTATCTCTCTTTCAAGTGTGCTTCTTCAGCATGACATCCACACATTTAATTTGTCTCTGTAGCATTTACATTTAAAATAATTCCCTGAAATAACAGTAGGAGCCTGATTTACACTCACAGAACAAATTAATTCAGAGCTAACAACATCATTTCCTCTGCCTCACTGAGCAGAGATTGCTGCAGTTGTGTGCTGTGCCCACAGGAAAGCGCATTACAGCTGGTGAAGGGAGCAGTTCAAGAGATTGAAGGTGATAAATGAAAGGGGTGCGTGGGGTGAGGAAACCCAACCTAAACTATATTGCCCAGGTGAAAAAAGCCCCTCCACCCTCCTCCTTTGCCCATTCTGAATTGCTAAACCTGCATCTCCCTCAGAAGTAGCTGCCACAGTAGTGCTGCAGCCTCCATCAGTCCTGTTCCGAATTACGTGCTTCATTTATCGGCCGCTTGATATACGGAGGTCCCTATGCAGCTGCCACAGTAAAATCCATCAGAGTGATGTCATCCCACTTCTGCCCCAGCAGTGCAATTCTCCAGCTCTTTACTGTGCTGATGGACCCTCTCACATCATTCTGCTTATGGTTGTGGGCCAGTTTAACAGGAAGAGGGAAGTCTGGCAGGGAATTAGCAACAAGGGAACAATGACCAGTTAGTATAAGCTTCATGAGGGGAAAAAAAAAAACAAATCAAAACAAAAAACAATCAAGGACATGTGCCTGCAAAGCCAAGCCTTAGAGAGCTAAGGTCCTCATGATGACATTTCTAAGCAGGTGACAAAACTGTGTTCAGTGAATCTTTGGGGAGAAGAGGCAGAAAATATTTAAGTAGAGAAAGCAAGCTTCATCGCCTCCATTTTAAAGAAACATTAAGAAGGCAAAGGATTCAACATAACAAAATTAAATTAACATCTTGGTATAATGCCACAAATGGAATTGCTGTTGTGAATGAAAACGGTTCCTAATTAGCTGAGGCAAAGAGCAAATCCACTCTCAAAAACAAAAAGGGCACAGTTCTTCAGTGGAAAGCTGAGCACAGGTCCTCTGTGAGTCTGCTGGGCACATCACCCAGGGTAACATTCATCAGCAATAATGCACTGAGCCACCCACTCAGGTTTCAAGAGTTTTTAAATCCCAATTAGAATCTAAATGACTTGCAGGGAGGCTTAAGGGAGTTCTCAGCTCTCTCGGGTAGTGAAGATAATTATGGGGAAGAGCGATGCGGATTATGAATGGCTCTGCAGCTCTGACTCCCACATTACCGCTTGCTACGCACTGGCAGCTTGGTCCGCTTTGCCTTGGCAGACGTGCGGCAGAGAGCTGCCCCCCAGTCCCTTTTCTTGCTTGTTGAGTGATGTTATGAGTGGGAGAGAAGAGGGGGAGCAGTTTAACTCAATTTGAAGAAGAATGGAAATGATGAGAAAACCAGATAGGAAATCACATAAACATATTTTCTTGATCCAAAGCCTGATCCTTCATTGAAAGCCCCTCTGTTGCGCTGCATGCAAACTATTAATTCCCTGGCCACGTTCCCGTCACAGCTACCGACTTGGAAAAAAGCAGGCATGTCCTCCTACTCTGTGTATTTGTTGTTTATTTGCTCAGGTCTAACTACTCATCCATACTGACCTGTTTGCTCTCATTTTTCAGATGAACTTCTTTGGAAATGCTATTTACTTTCTGTCTGGATGATGTTGAAGATGATGGGGCCAATTCTAGTTCAGTCCTTTAAGTCCTATCACAATCTAAACATTAAATCAATTGCAGCAATCAAGACTAGCAGACAAATCCCTTCTAGTATCCAGGCACATTCTTTATCATATCATTGGTAGGACTTCTGGTTGGAATATCAGGCACGTCATTTACTGCCCCAACAACAAGTCTTATTCATTGACGTAGCCGCTATTTGAAAGAGTTGGAGGGGTTGGGGTAGATGAAACCATACATCATCATGTTTTGAAAATTTCCTCTGTGGAAGACTAAAATGGTTGCATTTTTTGTTCCTAACAGGTAACAAACACTGACATTCCAAACTCATGCTGAAATTCTACCTGTCCGTTTAACTCTGCTGCTTAGCCCTGTATCTGCTATGCCTTGAAGTAAAAATCAAACCCAGACTAACCCCCCCCCTGCTCTGAAGTGAAAAAACAACAACAAAGCTGCCCCTTCACCAGACAACTGCCTCCCAAAATACTGACAGGCTGCTGGTTGGGAAACAACATATCTGACACCGTCTAGTAGAGCATGATAAGAGTCAATTCAGATCAGCAGTAACCTCGGATGAGCTTTCAGCTCACCTGCAAAGATGAAAATACCATGATGAAAGATGAAAGATACCATTTCAAAGATGAAAATGTTCGTGTCTCCATATCCACCCATTCTTGCCCAAAAGTGTAACAACAACTGAGGAAATTCAAGCAAATGAGCCAGGAAATCAGAACAATAGTTGTTTACAGTGGACAACACCTACTTCAGCAAACATAGGAGGTAAAAGCAACATCAAAGGGTGTTAGTGCAGCTGACAAGCCTGACAAACATGAATTGCAAGGGCTTTGTTGATAAGAATTCAGGCTTTTTTAAAATTTATTTTTAGGAAAGCATCTGCTCTAGCTTTTCAAAACCTTATAGGCACATCCCACAAGTTGGAAGATCAGTAATCTGGCAAAAAAAAAAATACACACTATTTTCTTCAAAGATTATTCCCACAGATTCCCCTATATGATGTCAACACCTGCCTCTACTTCAGTGCACAGTTACACGTGGCGTCACTCCTAAAGGTCACCTTTGTGCTGCTCTCATCTTGCTCGCACAAGTACATGAAACTTGTCTGTGGGAACATGAAAACAAAGGAGCCACACTACTTTACTGCTACCAAGTCTTACAGCTCTGCCATTACTTAATCTTAGCTCATCTGGACCAAAGCCGTGGTTCATACACATACTCAAGCTCTATGTTTTAATCTTTCTTTTCTCCTCCAGAAAGCAAACAAAAAAGCCTCAAACAATTCAGACACAACCAATGCTCCTAGTCATCACCAGTCCTCAAATGAAGACCTTGAACAGAAAACATCCCCCCATATTGTCTCAGCAATTGTTATTCCTCCTACCTCTACAGCTACTTTCCAGGGACTTAATTGGAGTTTTCTTAATGCAGGTGCTGTTATCTCCCAAATCTCACACTGCCCTTGTCTGTTTTAATTGCATTGATTTAGCTGTGATGTTTGCTTCACCTCTAAAACAACTTCCTAAAAGCACTCACAGGAGAGTGTTAGAAACCTCAGCTATCACAGGCCCTCAGAGTGCCTCCTTTCTTGTACCTGTTACTTTGTTAGACAAAGGAAAGAATGCAAACATGCTGTAGGAAATTCTGGTTGATTTATATTTCCAAAGATTCTGTGCTTTTACTATGTCTTTACCTCCAAGTACACCCTCAGAAGACCAAGCGCTTGGAAGCTAAATCTTTGCTAAAGATTTTGTTGCCAAAAAACATACAGTTTTATTCAGTCTCAAGTCACAGCCTAGAAACAAGAAAATCTCACTATACACTAAGCTTTACTGGCCTGGAAAAGACCACACTGTAAAGAACAGTTAAGGTCATTTTTATGAAGAATTGTCACTAGGAAGTAAAACAATTCATGTCACAAAAGCCTTTAAAATGTTGCACCCAGTCATGCCAACTTTGCACAGAAATACCAACTTCCTTACGCTATATTCACGACAGTCAAACCTGGAGCAGGAAAAAACCCACACGGCTTTCTTATAATGGAGTAATCTGCATTATAACTTGAATGATTAAGAATGAAGAATTGTCTTGATGATCATTTAAAACCTTTGACAGTGCAGTCACCTTTGGTTAAGACAAAACCAGCCAACACTAGAGCCCGAAACACAGCCCGCAAGCCTGCAGCCAGCTAACCGACACGATGCGTAACGCAGAGGCACTGGGCGCATTCTGTTTCCAGCAAAGTCAGCACAAAGAGCCACTGCTTGGCACTTCTGAAAAGCAGGCTGTTTATATAAGTGTCTGAAGATGGATTTAAGAGGCTAACTTTGACCACTTAAATTTGAAAAATGTGACCTTTGTTTTTTCCCAGAATTCTGCATAATGCTATAAATCTAGTCTTTATCTTTGTGAAGCTATCCAGGCTGACAAGTGGCTTATATCTATGACCTTGTACCACAGAAGTAATTAAAAATGAATGCCATGAGAAGACTTTCAAGTGCTTTTGTGCATTATCAAGTATAAGTCTCGAGGGGCAGCAAGATTGTTTTGTTGATATTATTTTGAATGACCAGTCTTCATGTCACACACAACAGATCTTCTGGTTTCATACTGGGGCTACATTCTTTTCATTAGAAATACTGGTAAAACTGCATTACCTTTAGGAAATCCCTCTGTCCCTATTTATATTTTAATCTGAGTTCTAAGAAAATCCCCGAGATCAAGCTACCAAATATTTCTGAAGGGAAAATTGGAAATCAAGGATTAATATTATTTAACTACAACCGCCACAATAGCTAAGGGTTAAGGCTCTTTGCAGCATACATGTTTGAATCACACAACACTACAGAAGCCAAGGAGGCAAAGTCAGGCTCTGAGTAAGAGTGGTGATTCTTCAGTGTTATTCAGAACAGATTTGGGAGACCAGCTCTGAGGGAGCTACAGGGGAGATGCCAAACATGGCCAAGGGCAATCTAGTCTTTATGTCCTGAGCAGACAAAAACACAGGAGCATCTCCACTGGAAAATGGTTGCAGAATACAAGGGTGCCACGTTAGGTCAGTCTAGAAGGACCTCATGAACAGAGACAAGGTATAAATTTCAAACTCACTCAGACATTGCATGTTTACTGTTCCGTGAGCTTAAACTTTGCTGCCAGAGTCTAAGACTGACTGGTTTTAATATCCACTATTGCTATGTCCCCTGTGTTAAAGACCAACTCTACAAACTGATGGCAGAAGAAGGCTGGAGCACAGAGGTGACCTGGATGAGAAGATGGTGAAGTCTCTTGCCTTCATTGCATGGCTGGGAGTGTGCTTCACACCAGCTCCAACAGCAGTCCCCACACCAGTCAGCCCTCACTGTCTCTCCTCCCCAGGACCTCCAGACTTCCCTGTCACTGATATATAAGAGAGTGAAAGACTGCACCAAAATGATTTCAAACTGTACCTGGACAGCGATATTCTTATTGAATATATTTGAGAACTGAAGGACAGGCCTTACAGCCTTATACATTCGATACTATTCATACTGTAATAAGAACAGAGCTGCCCAGTGTGAAGTATTTGCTTTCTGGGAATCTGAGGGTACAGGTATGATATGTTACTGCAAATCAAATTTAAATAATTAGGCTTGAAACACTGAACCTGTTGATTGATGCATCTCAATAAATTTTCAAATATCGTAGGAAAAAGAGAGACTTCATATTCAATAATTTTAAGTTTCCTAGGAAACTAGGGTGAGAAAGTACCTTATTTCAGAGTGTTTTCACAACACTCAGCTCCAGGTCTGAATTATAGCTGAACGTGTCAGATACAATCTCACCCTATAGCAAGAAAAGTCTTCCAAGGAAAACATTATTCCTCTTGGAATACATCAAGTATTCAATTCAAAGTCATTATTAATCATCCCTTTAAAAGGAGAAAGCATTCTGGCAAGGTCACAGTGGTCAGGGTGCCTTTAATAGCTAAATTCATTACTTAGGATGTTTACTGCAGGCTTCACCAAGGAAATAAGAATAGTAGAATTTGTAAGATCAGCGTTTCAGCAAATCATGAGCCTGAGATGTTAAGTGTGCATTTTGAACTATGAATTCAAAATGCCACACTACCACTTACAGATCATCGGATGCAATATAGAATAGTTTGGAAGCTTTGGAGACTGATTTAAAAGTTGAACCCATCCCAGTTGGGGATGGTACAATTAAGTGGCAAAAGTATCTTAACACAGGTATCAACATAATCTCAATACTAATAAAAGAGCATTGCTGATGAGCAGTGACCAAACTGAGCAAGGTCTCTTAAAAAGGTAAGAGAAGATAAAGACTTTTCAGAAGCCACATTATCTAAAGCAAGTCTATCCTTCTTTTGACCAGTCTGTACAGCGTACAGTCGAATGCAGGTCTACGTAAAGTACGCGTCAGAAAAGGGACATTCTTCTAGAGAGAGAGCTGAAGCAGTCAAAATAATACTTGTAAATTTGACACTAATGGTGCAACTTGCAAAATCAAACCAGGCTAAAACAGGGACAGTGCCTTCCAGAGCAACTCTGCTCACCTTTTCTAGTGCACACTGGTCAACAAACCTGCAATCCTGTATCAATTGTTTGAACCTATAAAACAAACATAATAATCCTTTCACTTAAAGGCAGATATGTCAAATTTGACCTTTCCTGTGATTAGCCAAAATTTAAAACATTTAATTCCACAGTGCTGCTGTTATTGTTTCCATTTATGAATTGATTCTTATTTAGATTCCATATGCCACCAATGAGAATAGGAAAATGCTTTGTTTCTGAACAGAAACTCTATGTTTACTAGTTCCCAACCCTTAGCTTTTCCAAAGCAGCCAAAAAAAAAAAACAAATAACTTGCTCCGGACTCCACTTCAGACTCCAGGCTCATAACTCCAAACCTCTCTCCACCTACACTGTATCTGACTGAGGGGCAGGGGAAGAGAAACAACCACCCCCAAGTCCCGTGCCACCTAGCTTTCAAAAGTGCTCAATGTATAAAATTACCTTTTTCCTCAAATACACTGAAGGATGTGCTGTAGCTTATTAGTTAGACGATGATTTGGTTCTTCAGTGTCTAAAAATCACTGTTCCTCAGAACTAAAGCCAATGGTGAAGGAATTCTTCCAGTAACAACTTGCCAATTTAGAAGTGAAATTTAAATTAACCTTACTTTCCAAAGGCCTTATACCTGAGGCACGTTCATATAGGATGACAGATCTAAGTGTCCAGTTTCTCCATTCCCTGACAATTTAACCAAGCTGATGATTTTTGCAGCTCTTTTTTTCCTATGAACTTTACTCTCATATGTCAAAATTTGATCTTTTGAACAAAGCAACACGAATTCTCTTGGCTCAAACCCTATGGGCTGATAGTCTTAGTACCTTTATTTTATTTTCAAG